GAACGACTGAACACTTAATACTTCAACTTCGTTAGAGAGAGAGACAGACAGACAGACAGACAGACAGACAGACAGACAGACAGACAGACAGACAGACAGACAGACAGACAGACAGACAATCAGACAGGGAGGGAGGGAAGGAGGGAGGGACAGAGAGAGATTGAGATGTGGAGCAATAGATAGAGAGACCGACTCAGAGAGACAGAGAGAGAGAGAGAGAGAGAGAGAGAGAGAGAGAGAGGTATTAAGAGAGAGGGGGCAACGAGAGAGATAGATCTAGCTATGGTGAGACTGAGAGTGGGAAACACCCGCATTAGTGACATGCATCATTGTTAGCCCCACTTGGAAATCCAATATGTAAGTGGACACTTCGACAATGTTAGTCTCTCAAAAAGCAAAAGTAAGGCGCCACTATAGATCTAGATCTAGATCTAGATCTATATATAATAATATCATATTCTTTAATTCTTTTAAAGTTTGACAAACACTGGACTACACACTCAACCTGCAAGTCTCAAGAAAACAGCTCCCTCCACGTAAATGAAAGGGTATTAAAATCAAATTAACTTGAATATTGGCCGCACCTACCTATCTGGGATTTTCCGTGACATTTAAATAGCGGAGTTTCCACTGCGCTCGTTCCTGTCAAATTGGAGGCAATTGGAGAACAAAGTAAACACAGGAATCACGTATCGGGTGTCAATCCAGTCCCTGATAACGCGAGGACCGAGCAGGAAATAAAATCGTTACATCGTTATAATCCGGGGCAAAGCTAGCCGACACTCTGACTCTGACTGAGCCGAGGTATTCGTGAAACAGCTTTCCTTTGAATGAGCGTGCACGATATTATTTCGCACTGAGAGAAAACTCCGAAACATGGAAACAAGTTCATCGTATTATAATCATACAACGGAAACATCCTGTGACATCATCCGTCGCCGAGCACTACTACACAATACGTGAACTGGCCGTCCTACTGAAACTAGATGTGTGGTGATTGACAAGGGACCTGGCCCAGCCTAGATCTACTACTGATCGCTCTGTGACGAGTAGTGGTGCAATTGATCGATCAAATTTTTCGATTAACCGAGCAAGATTCTTGGTCGAGTAAATCGACCAAAGTGGTTTCTTGACCGAGCAAGACATCAATCAAACGCCAAAATTAATTGTCGCTATCAAACAAACGCGAAACCCATATTTTGTCATTGCATCGTTTTGAAAACCAGCAAACTTCAAACTTTTAACA